TTTTTTTTTTTTTTTTTTTTTTAGAGAGAGAGGAAGGGAGAGGGAAAGAAAGAGAGAAACGTTGATGTGAGAGGGAAGCATCGATTGGCTGTCTCCTGCATGACCTCTACCAGGGATTGAGCCTGTAACCCAGGCATGTGTCCTGACCAGGAATTGAACAAGCAACCTTTCGGTGCACAGGACACCCAACCAACTGAGTCATACCCACCAGGGCGAGTTGAATTGAATTTTTGTAGTAAAGTTCAGTTTTGGTCATTTCAACTCAATTTATTTGAGATCTTTCAACATGTGTTTATCTACGCATGTAATGTCCCAGGATTGTCAAAAAGGTTTCAAGGAGCTTATGCTCTATTTGGAAGAAAAGATGTATAAATTAAAACCCAGGATGATTAGCCTGAGGTGGCCCCTACCTCAGCTTGGGCTTCTGATAGGAGGTAACCAGATAAGCTTAATTCAGTTCAATTTTATTTCATTCTGTTCATTTACATTCATTTGACTTGAGTTGAAATCAAGTTGCTCTTAATTGAATTGGGTTGAGGTGAACTAGATTAAATTGAGTTTCGTTCAACTATAATCAGTTTAGTTCCATTTATTTCTATTCAGTTGACTTAAGTTAAAATTACTCTTGGCTAATTAGTGAGCAGCACTGAATTGGACTGAGTTTAATTTAATTGGAGAAAAGTTTATTCATTTCCATTCAGTTCAATTGAGTTGAATCTGTTCTTGACCAGGTTTAGTTGGCTTGAGTTAGAATGAGCTGGGTTGTTGGATTAGGTACAGCTGAGTTCAACTGAGTTGGATTCAGTTGGGCTCATTTCAGTTGAGTTTAGTTACACTCATTTCCATTGGTCAACTAAAGTTAGATTGAGTTGGCCTGAGCATGTTAGGTTGAGTTGGATTTGGTTGACTTGGATTGAGCTGGGTTGGGTTGAGTTCAGATCAATTTATGTCCATTATTTTTATGTAGGCTAATGTTGATCTTGAAGAAACTGATAAGGCTAAATTCAATTCAGTTTATTTGCATTAAATTCCACCCAGTTAAGTTGAATTCCACTCTATGAAGTATAACTGGCCCAAGTTCAGTTCCACTGAATTAACTCTGAGAACTGCCATCTGTTAAGCTAAGTGGGTGTGATTTATATTCACTTCAGTGCCATTTGGTTTAGTGGGCTTGAGTTTGTTCAACTAAATTCAGTTCCCTTCAGTTTTATGAGCTGAGTCTAATTAAGCTTCACTAAGCTGAATAGATATGAGCTCTGCTTAGGCCAGTTTACATGAGTTTAGTTCCTTCCCATGCAGACCTCCCATCTGAACCACATACATTTTAATGAGGCCCGTTCATCAGGAAACTCCTGCACCTCAGTAATGAACTGGCTAAAGCCCCCACCCCTGAACCCTTTGTGACCAATATCTCCACTGCCCCATCTAGGCGAAGAAGGGGGAAGTTCCCCCAGAGGAACAGGGCCCTAGCATCAAGAACCTCGACTTCTGGTCCAAGCTGATCACTCTCATAGTGTCCATCATCGAGGAAGACAAGAATTCCTATACTCCCTGCCTCAACCAGTGAGTTGTGTGTCTGTGTACTTAATTATCTGGAGGTTATTGTGTATGTGTGTGCACAATTTTGTGTCTTATGTGTAAAGGCATTCATATCTAATTATATATAAAGTGTTGTGTATGTGTGATCAATTGTGGGTGTGGTTGTGCCTTGATGAAATATGGCATAATTTGCAAACATAAACATAAAATTGTGTGTATGTACACAATTACTGGTATAATCAGACATGTATTTTATATGTATTGATTTGTGTGAATAACTGTGTACATATGTATATAATTTTATATATGTGTGTGTAGGTTCATAAATAACAATAGATAATGTTTTCTAGTGTTTACTATGTGTAAAATACTCTTCTAAATTTTTTACATTTAAATTACATTATTTCATACATGTATGGATATAATTTTGTGTGTAGTTGTGGTCTGTGGGTTTGTGTATGTCTGTACAATTGTAGAATGGACTTTAATACGCAATATTGTATATTGTGTAATTATGTGTGAATGTGTGCACAGTTTTGGTTTGTGGATTTATATGTCTGTAGAATTTTAATCTCTGTTAGCTGAATGAGCCATTGTGTTTTATTTCTCTCTGAGGTGAATAACTCTGAAGTGCCATGATCTCTTGGTTACTTAGATATGGAGTTAAGATCAGGGGCATTGGATGGATGGATGGATGGATGGATGGATGGATGGATGGATGGATGGATTGGTAGAAGGATGGATGGGTGGATAAAGGAGTTGATGTATGTTTGGATGAATGATTGGATAGCGGGATGGATGGATGGATGGGTGCATGGATGGATGGATGGATTAATAAGTAGATTGTTGGAAGAACGGGTGGGTGGATAAAAGGATGGATGGATGGGGAATGAAGGGAGAATGAATGAATAGATGGATAGACAGATGAGTGGATAAATGGATGGGTATATGGATGGACAAGGAAGTAAACTGATGGATGGAGGGATATGCGGGTGGAGGCTCAGGAGAAGAAGGACCTCAATGCAGAGTCACTCAGCAAGTTGGTGGCTGTGAGGGAACTTGAATACAGATCCCGCTGTCTGTCCTGTATAACCCTTTGGCTGGGAAGGCCCAAATAGCCTGTGCCATCCAACTTCTGTCTGTCAAGTTTTCATACTTCCATGACTTTTACCAGGTTTCCCCAGGAGCTGAATGTGGGTAAAATCAGTGCTGAAGTAATGTGGAACCTGTTTGCCCAGGACATGAAGTATGCCATGGAGGGTGAGTGCCCCACCCCTTGTCTCCCAGCCTGGCTACAGCAGATAGCTGTGCCTCAGTGTCTTCTCCAAGACTGTGAGTACCCTGTACCTCATGCCTGAGCTTGAATACCAATGATGGCCAGTGCGGGCACTGCCAAGACAGAGGGTGGCAGATCCTCCTGGCTGAGTAACCCCCCTATTCCCTACTCTAGAGCATGACAAGCACCGCTTGTGCAAGAGTGCCGACTACATGAACCTCCACTTCAAGGTCAAGTGGCTCTACAATGAGTATGTGGCAGAGCTTCCCGCTTTTAAAGACAGAGTGCCAGAGTACCCTGCGTAAGTCCCCTGCCCAGAACCCAAGCCAGAACTATAGGCTGACACTAGACTGAGGCCCAAAGAGGAGAGCTCACCTATTCAGGGTTCCCTGGGCATTGGGGGCACAGGTGTGGCTCAAATCCAGTGTTCTCCATTCTTATTCATTGGCCTATGGACTCCTATAGCCAAACAATTAATAATCATAAGTATCAGGGACTGTGCTGAGCATTCCTCATCATTTCTCATTTAATCCTTTTGACATTTCTGAGATGGGAACATCATAATTTCCATTTTGTGGATGAAGAAATAGAGCATTAAATACTGAAGGGTTTGTCCAAAGTGACATCCAATAAGTGACGTAGCTGAGGTTTAAACTTGGATTGTCCGACTTGCAAGCTGTGTTAGAGAGTGGGTTGGTGACCACCATTTACTGAGGACCTACTAGGTGCTATGTTGGGATCTCAGAGAGTAAACTTATGTGCCCATGGGCAGTTTATCAACGAGGATTTCTGCAAGTCTGGCCTTGTTCTGACAGTGATCACTTGGTCCATTTCATGGGTGAAGTAGCCAAAGTCTGGGAGGGGAGGGGAGCAGAAGAGTGACCACCCAAGACCACAAGGTGAGTTCAAGCAGAGGGTTATAGAGAAAAGAGATGACAGGGTCCCACCCCTCTTTCCATTCCAGGTGGTTTGAGCCCTTCGTCATTCAGTGGCTGGACGAAAATGAGGAGGTGTCCCGAGATTTCCTGCATGGGGCCCTGGAGCGAGACAAGAAGGATGGGGTGAGAAGGCTGATCCACCACTAAACTTCCAATCTCCCCACAGTGTATTTGTTCCCTCGGGGGTCCATTGAAATACAATTTGGGGGCAAAAACTGCCCTTGGGATGAGGCCAATCTCTGAAGGGTGTCTGCAATCTTTGTCTTGTTCATGGTATTTAAAGTCTTCTGTTCGTTCAGCAGATGAATGTGAGTTTATCAAGCCTGACCCCACTCACCCACCCAGTGGCTTCTGTATCTGGCTCTATGTCAACCTCACCCCAAGGCAGTTGGTCTCTGGCTCTCCTCGTGGAGAGTAGGAGGGCTGGGCTCTGAGGACTGTCTGACTCTGACCCTGCTCCTCTTTCCTGGCCTCTCTTACCCTACAGTTCCAGCAGACCTCAGAGCATGCCCTGTTCTCCTGTTCTGTGGTGGACGTCTTCTCCCAGCTTAACCAGAGCTTTGAAATCATCAAGAAGCTCGAGTGCCCTGACCCCCAGATTGTGGGTCACTACATGAGGCGGTTTGCCAAGGTGCAGAAGTGTGGGTGGGGTTGGGGATGGGGCCCAGGTGGGGGATGGAGTTGGGATAGGGTCTAGATTGGTGTAAAGTTGAGGTTGGGATTGAGGTCAGGGTCAGGGTTGGGGTTGAGGTCGGGACTGAGGTCAAAGTTGGGGTTGGTGAAATCATTGAGATTGAGGTTGGGTGGAGGTCTATGGAAAAACCAACCCAGACCACTGTGTTGGAGTTGGTCATGCCATAGAGGTTGGAGTTGTGGTTAGAGTTAGAGTTGGCAATATCATTGAGATTGGAGTTGAGGTTAGGGTTTGAGTTGAGATTGGATTGGTGATGTCATTGAAATTGGAGTTGAAGTTAGAATTAGGGCTTGGGTTGAGGTTGAAGTTGAAGTCAGGCTTGAAGTTGGGGTTGAGTTTGAGGTATAAATTGGGATTGGTGATATCACTGGGGTTGAGGTTGGGGTTGAGGTCAATGTTGGGGTTGGTTTTTCCATAGAGGTTGGAGCTGTGGTTGGGGACAGAGTTTGAGTTGAGGTTGGGGTTGATGTCAAGATTGTAGTTAAAATTGGAGTTGAATTTGGGGCTGGGATTAAGGTTGGCAATAGGGTTGAGGTTGGGGTTGGGTTTAGAATTGCTTTTAGGATTGAGATTTGCTTTGGTATTATTAGAGTGAGTGTTGGAGTTTATATGGAATTTGAGTGGGCCCTGGAGTGAGTTTGGAGGTAAACTATGTTGAAGTTGGGGAATTCAGATGGGAATCGAGATTTGGTTTAGGATCAGGTAATACTTGTGTTTGGGGCTGGGTTAATATGATGGTTGATTGCTCTGAAAAAGAGCTGAGTCTACATAAAATAATCACCTTCACGTGGTGGTGTCTCCCTTGATTGTGATGGTTATCCTGGGTGGAGAATTCACACAGCCCAGTGGTCCATCTTAGGCCCTAAAGTGGGTATGAGTTTATCCTTCATCTCACTAGTGGCTCTTGATGGGCCCGCTCAGCCCCAGACTTTCCTCTCAACCACCCTCTGTGTCCTATCCAGACCATCAGTAATGTGCTCCTCCAGTATTCGGACATCATCATCAAGGACTTCGCCTCCTACTGCTCCAAGGAGAAGGAGAAAGTGGTGACCTGTGGGGACCCTTGTCCTCCTTCCCAGCCCCTTTCTGCACCCCCAGGGTTCCATCCTTCCCTGGGCTCTGAAACCTTTGTCTGCCTGTGTGTCCAACTGTGTGTCTCACTGTGTGTTTGGGGGGATCTGGAGGTGTCACACAGCTAGTGTGCCACTGTCTGGTTGTTGCAAATAAAGCCTTCAGGGTGTATGTATGTGAGCATGCAAAGCCTTGATCCCATGTAGGAGAACATGGGTATATGACAAGAACTCCCCTGCTCTTAGAGGCCCAGCCCACTTACTTAGGTCCTTCTTCCCTCTGCCAGTCCCCAGAGACCATCTTCCTCAACACTCCCAGGAACCTGGTCCCAAATACTGTCTTTCATTCTCAGATGACCTTGTGGGACCCCAAGTTTCTCTAGACCTGGACCCTGAAACCATCCAGGATCCCTGGTGGTGGGTGGGGGAGACTCTGAGAAAGGGTCCTGAGTCCTAACTCCCCACTTTGTTCCCATCCCCAGCCTTGCATCCTCATGAACAACACTCAGCAGCTGCGAGTTCAGCTAGAGAAGATGTTTGAAGCCATGGGAGGGAAGGAGGTGAGGGGTGACCACCCAACCCATCCCTGTGGGCCCCAGAGCTCATACCTGATGAATTCCAGCTCAGCCACTACCTCAAACCCAAGCAAGTGGCTTCATTGCCTGTCTCAGTTTCCTCTCCAGCCCCTTGATGACCCTTTCCCTGGGTTGAGTGGGAAAATGCCCTAGACATGTGGATGCTCTATAAACCTGACCTGATGGATGTCCCTTTCCCTTCCTCAGCTGGATGCTGAGGCCAGTGACATCTTGAAAGAGCTCCAGGTGAAACTCAACAACGTCTTGGATGAACTCAGCCGGGTGTTTGCTACCAGGTGGGGCTGGGAGCAGGGGGAGGGGGCAGCTCTCAGATCTCTGAGACTGAGGCACCCAGAGACTCAGCAGATGTAGTGGGGAAGACTTCAAGCTTGGAGTTAGATGAGGTTGAGTTCAATCATGGCTTCACTGCTTACTAGCTGTGTGACCTTGAGTGAGTCATTTAACTTCTCTGAGCCTTAGCTTATTCATCTGTAAAATGGGGATAATGATAACAATAGTACCTAAGTAAGGCTGTGTGATGAAATAACATAGGTAAATGTCTTTTCCTGGTGGCCAATTCTACTATTATTAATGTCGCCCCCTTCAGTTATATGCCATGGCTCCCTGATGCTGATGATAAAAGGTCAAGGTCCACGGATCAGCATTTATTGCCTCACTGGGTCCTTCCTCCAGAGGCCAGGAGTCTGGTCTGAGCTTCTCCCTTTTATGCCTCCAGCTTCCAGCCTCACATTGAGGAGTGTGTCAAACAGATGGGTGACATCCTTAGCCAGGTGAAGGGCACGGGCAATGTGCCAGCCAGTGCCTGCAGCAGCGTGGCCCAGGATGCTGACAACGTGCTGCAGCCCATCATGGACCTGCTGGACAGCAAGTGAGCCATGTCAGGTGGACTGAGCCAGTGAGGGAGGGGCCATGGGTGGGGCCTCGGAGGCCAGGGCTGGCTTGGAGAGAATTGCTGGAGAGTCATGCTTGCTGGGTGGTGGTTGAAAGATTTGGATGGGTATGTGCGTGGAGGCAATGAAGAGATGGAAAGATGGGTGGTAAATGATTGGGATTGGTGAGGAAATATTTGTATGGATAAATGGATGATGGTTGGATGGATAGATGACATAAGGGTTGGGCAGGTGGATAGATGGGTAAATTAAAAGATAAATGCTAGAAGACTAGATGGAGGATAGATGGATAAAAGAATGGATGGATGGACAAATGGGTAAATGAATGGATGAATGGATAGATGAGTGGATGGATAGTTGGGAAAGTATTTGGGTGGATGAATAACTAGATGGATGGATGATAATAATAAATGATGGAAGTGTAAATGGGGAGATGGATGGAAGGGAGGGAGAGAAGGAAGAATGGATGATGGATAGTTGGATATATGAAAGAAAGGGAAAGAGGGAGG